AATATACCCGGAACCAGGAAAACACCTTACATTCCAGGAACCAGGACATCCCTGTCCATATAAGCAGCAGCGCTGTAGCCTGCGATGCAACTCCCACGGCCCGGACATTGTGGACTGTGGGACTTCAGCCAGGCTGGGTTTTTCTCCCTAATAAAGCCTGTTTGTTCTAATTCGACTGATTTGGTTTCTGGCGCCTCTCGACTACCTTACAGTATGGTCTTCAGAATGACCTGATCCTCATTTTATTGACGAGTTACAATCCTCTAACGATAGCATTGGGACTGCGACACCCAGCTTGTTGGCTCTCAACTGGGGCACTGCCCTCACAGAGGCAGAAGATGGATTGTGTGTGTATGTGTGAGAAAATTGCACTCATTTTATGTGTAAGTATAGATATATGAGGATAAGTCATCACAGTAACTCTTGCTCAACAAAATATCAAAAGGTAAGGTTACTGTTTCCGGGCATGTCCTCCATCTGGGTCTATACACATAACTCTTGCTCTTCCCCCCAAAATGTGGGATACAAAAAGACTGATCCCCAGCTCGACTCCCCCAAATATATATGTTAGACTTAGGACACTGCTTGAAACTAATGGTAAACGATTGTCAAGTTATCTCCCTGAAGACTCCTGCCATCCTGAGCAAGCAGACACCATTGTTCCTTCCACAATAGGTGGAGCTCACTCCCTGCTGTTAGGGACAGTGGATTGCTTCCCCATAAAGCTTAGGCTAAATCAAATCTCCAGCTCTAGGGCAATCAAGGTTCAGCCATCAAGAATCTGCCCATATTGTCACATGTGTACCCTTAATCCCTCCTCTTCCTATTGCTCATAAACCCCTAGATTGTCCCCCTCCCATTACTGCATTACCTATAATACAACCCTTTCCAGTGACGTATATCTTTACCTGTAATTAGGGGGCTTGCATGTCCCCCAAAGATATATATGCCTTGGTTAGCAATAAATCTCTCTTTCTCTCTCCTCCTGGCTCTCTCTCCCATCCCCTCTTCCCTGTATCCTCCCCCTCCCCCTCTCTCCTGCCACCATGAGGAGCTGAGGTGAGTGTGCTACCATGAAATGTGTCTGACTCCATTATTCCAATCTCTCTTATTCTCCATGATTTTACTATAATAGTTACTTATTATCGCTATACAATTGCGCCTGCCGGGCCTGTGATGATTCATTAGGGGCTGGCTCCCCTGACACCCAAAGGACTCTGTGCTCTTGCCCTGACCACAGCGGTGGTTTTGGCGTCCTCCAGGGACTCACACTGTAGTCCTTTTTAGAAACAAAAAGAAGTCTGAATAGATAAGAGACCTAGAAGCCAGATGGGGCAAGCTGTCCCGGTGAGATTCTCGGAAGTGAGCCCTTGCTCTCCCATTGAAAAATGAGCAGGTGCGTGAACCTGATGGAAAAAAGTTCAGTCTCCCATTTTCTTAAGACTCTGTCCTTAAAGGTGCCCATGATTACACTGTGGCCTTGGAGAAAATCTAGCAAGATGATCCATTTGGAAACCTCCCCAAACAGCTGCCATCACCTTCTACGCTGACACTCTGCTCTGCGATGAACTGGCCCAGCAGGTACTCTTGGGCCTTTTTCAGTGAAAGAAACATCAAGGACACAAAGGTATTGCCGAGAGAACTTGTCTGCAGCCATCTGCTGATCACACGTCTAAGCGCATTTTGTTTAGAATGTACCGTGTGTGTGCCAACTGGAACCCTGGTGGCAAGACTTTTTGCCTGACCCTCATACAAACACACCGCACACAAAGAGATGCACAGTGTCCCTCTGGTGTGAGAATTTCATGGGGGATGACTTGGGGAGAGGTCAATGCAGGATCCTTGAGGGGGCACAGGAGAGACGAGGGAGGTAGAGGGACACTCTCTGGGCTCCTCATCTCATCAGGACACCGGCTGAGCAGCGGTGCCTTGACTGGGACACCAGGCCCCCAGCCTCACTGGCTGCAGAAGGGCATCAGAAGGTGCGTGGCGCTGGGTGGGAAGAAGGGCATGGACCTGTTATCCAGCAGAATGCGCTTGTAGATGTCGATGGCTTCCTGGTAGTGAGACCTCATGTAGTGGATGGAGGCCAGACTGAGTTGGTCTTCTGTGATATCCTGAAGATTCTGATGGAAGTTCATCAACTTCTTTTCATCATTAAACTGAAATCGTGAGACAGAGAGAGAGAGAAAGACGCGTGAAAACGCTTATTAGGTCCCCGCTAACGGAAACCAAGACCTGTGTGTCCATGGTTCCAGCCTCTCCTCCTCCTCCTTCTCTACCTCTGTGCTTCTCCCTCCTCCTGCTCCTTTGGTGTCCCCGTCCTCCTCCCTCAGAGGGACGCCCCCAGTCACAGCCCACGCAGGACTTCTGCTTCTTCGACCTTGCTCCCTCTCCTCTTCCTATGGCTCTTTACTCTCAGCCTCTCCAACAACAGTCTCTGTGCACGCGGCTTCCGACTCCCGTAGTCACAGCTTCAGAAACCATGGGGCAGCTCTACCCTGTCCTATGGGGTTGCTCTGAGTCGGAATGGGCTTGAAGACAGGGACTTTCCGTCTTTCTTCTTCCTCCCTTTGATTGTCTTTCTCGAGGCGGGGCTCCTCCTGCCTATGCTACTAGGTGGTGGCTGCAGGCTGACAGAGTTCCCCTCCACCCTGGGATGTGGATTTTGGTAAAGGCCCAGAAATCACAGTGGCCTTTTGTATCAACCTGGGGTAGGGCATGTGCAGCATGCTCGTTCTGAGTGGTCTAAAGGCATACAGAGACGACTTCCTCCTGGTGCAGAAACTAGCTTATAAACGTAAAATCTGTAAAACCAAGTTCTTTGCACACACACAAATAAACTCTGAACTAAAATCCACTTTGATCACTGGTACATTAGAGAAATCTCTAAGAGTTATTTCAAGCTTGACTTGATGCGGTAGACAAAGGAATGCAGCTCTTGAAGCCAAGGTCAAGCTCAGGGAGGCTAGTGAGTCTGTTCCCTTATCTGCCTGTGTGTGCTTTGTTTAACTGAAGATAAACATCAAGAAAATTGGCTCCAAATAGTACTATTGCACTCGGCATAAAAATAGGAAAGACGTCAATCACAACAATGGAAAAATTGTTAATTACAGCATCCAGATTAGGAAGAATGATGTCATCACACAGCTCAAGTGTTCTGTCATTAGTGTTCACATTTGCCTAATCTGTCCTTGATATAGTCAAAATTCAGGTGGGACATATGCAGGATCGTATTTTGGCTCTCATGGACTCGTTTTAATTTTCTTCAGCTTCAACCTGAACTTATATATGAGCAATTGATGATCTTTTTCACAGTCAGCCCCTAGCTGGGTTTTAGTTGCCAATAGTGCATTTCTCTATCATCTTTTCCCACAGATGTAATCAATTTGATTTCTACATATTCCATCTGGAGAAATCCATGTGTGTTGTTGAAAAAGGTATTTGTATGAACAAGTAGTTGGTCTTGCAAAATACAATCACGTGATCTCCAGCTTCATTTCTGTCATCAAGACCATATTTTCCAACTACTATTCCTTCCTCTTTGCTTCTAACTTTGGCATGCCAGTCGCCAATAATTATCAATGCATCTTGATTGCATATTTGATCAAGTTCAGACTGAAGGCATTGATAGAATTCTTCAATCTCTGCATAACTGAACTTCTGTGGTTAGTGTATAACTTTGAATAATAGTTGTACTGGCTGTATTTCCTTGTGGGCAAATAGATTATTATTCTATCACAAATAGCATTGTACTTCAAGATTGTCTTGAAATGTCCTCTTTGACAATAAATGTCATGCCATTCCTCTTGAACCTGTCAAACTTGGCATAGCAAACCATGATTTTCTGATTCAATGGCCAATACCAGTCCATTTCGGCTCACTAACACTTAGAATATCAATCTTCCTGTGTTCCATTTCAGTTTTAACTTCCAATTTTCCTAGTTCATTCTTCACACATTCCAAGTTCCAATGACTGATTTGCAGCTGCTTTGGGTCTTGCCCCATCAGCAGATGCAGGTCCCCAAGGCTTCCCCACCATGGGCTGTACTCATTCCACATCACGATGGTCGACTCTGCTGGGAGAAGGCTCTTCCTCACTCGCAGTGAGAGGCTCATCTTCTGGCACAGTTTCAGATAATGTTCTGCTTCTATTCATGAGGTTTTCAGAACCTGACAATGTTTTGATTCTATCCATAAGGCTGTCTGTTGGTGGCTAATTCCTCTGAATTGGACAGCCTATGAGACGGTACCCCCCAAAAAAGCGGAATCCCCCTACCAAGCTAGGTATTTAAAATGTTATACAAAACAACTGTATTGTCTTCAAATTACTCTCCATTACATTTGTCAAATCTGAGATTCCATTCTTTTTTTTTTTTTT